ACGAAACCCCTGGTGGGCATTCGAATCGCAATGCAGTGCTTGACCGTCGAAGGGTTCTTGGAACGTCCGAAATCGCTCAACTTAAATCCGACCCGTCTTTTAGGATATTTTTGGAGAACCTTCAGAGAACTCTTTTAACCAAGTTTAATACAGTCGAAAGTGCGATCAAAAATCTACGACAAGAAGTTTATTCTGTCAAAAATCTCGTTACAGATGGCATGTTAGGAATGAAGGCAGGTTCAAGTTCTGGTTTGCGGAAGAAATCGAAGAGAAGCTCCAACTTCACCTCGAAATGGGCTTTCAAAGACCTCGTGGAGCAGGAGAATGCTTCCTTGGGAGCGCAAGTAGAGTTCGTGTTTGGCTCTTCTCTGCTGTCAGAAACTCTTACAGGTTGCGTATGTCACTTCATGGAGTATACTTGGTCCCTTGGCATTAAACTAGCTCACACACACCTGGCTATGGCTGCGTTCTTGTACGGCCACAACAAAACAGCAACGAAAAAGGCGTTTGCATGCGGATTGGCGCTAGTGCATTGTGATTTCAAGTTCAGGTACGTAAAGAAGCTGTTCGAGAGTGCTAGAAGGCGCAGGATTGACGTTTCATACAGCGGGAGAAACGATGACAGAGACAGTGTTAGTCATGAACACCGCCATCCTCAGCGTGAAATGCCTCACTGGCTAGAGACTGGATATGTCGGAAAAGATATACTGAAGATAACAAGAAAACTGGTAGAAACGAAGGAGAAGCCCCCCAAACCCCTCGTGGAAACCGTGAAGGGACGAGAGGCCATCTACATCGCTCAAAGTGTGTACGCAATGGTGACCGACTTTTTTAGGGAGTCCCGAGTTGCAGCCAAGAAGCGTTTTTTTGAAGATCTTGGGTTCATACTGATTCCGTGGGAGTCGCGACGAGGCATACCGGAAGGCTTTCAGCCCCCGAAGTTATCGTTTAAGTATCCAGATCACTATTTCAACATCGGGGATCAAATTACATCTGCAGTTACGTCTGACATTCCAAACGCGGTGGCATTAAACAAATGCCTTTTGCGGGAAATGACTGATTCTCGGTTGGAATTACATGTTCTACTGGAGTACGATGTTCTTGTGGGTGAGGGTTTACTAAAAAATGGCGGACAGAGGAGAGGCTTTCAGCCAGCCCAACGCAAACGTATGCACCGCACAATTAACCTTGCTGTAGTATCTCTAAATTTCTTTCTAGCGTACACCCAAGGCAAAGACGTGACTGATTTTCTTTGCAGTCATTCAGGCTCTCTACGGACAGTTTTCCGAACTGCATTGCTATTTCGTTTGTTTGTCAACGATGTTATCAACGGCAGGAGTCATTTGGCTTTGCCCTCTACCTTGCGTACCATGGAGGATGATGAAGGGGTACAGGAACAAAATATCAGTGGCGGCGGTACATTGTTGTTTCCGGGCGAAGCAGAGGAAGATGAAGCAGACCAGCCACAGCATAGTAACCATGATGAATACGAGGAAAGCGAAGAAAACGGTAGCAACATGGCTCGTGTGCGGATTTTAAACTTCCTGCCAGGTCTTTCGAAACAGAAAGATGTATTGGATGCACAAATCCTAAGGATATCTCCGGCAGCATTCGACAAACTGTGCACAATTTTTCCAACAGGTACCTCAGAGCGAGAGAATGCGGGTAAAAGTGTCGAAAATATGCAACAGGTTCAGGATCAATTGTGGGAAGATGACTCCAATGATGATGATGAGTTTAATTTCGAGCACCTTCTTCAGGGTAGCAGCAGAAACAGGAATGAGGGGTGATTTGCCTCATGTTACAGTATATCCATGACTACTTATTTCACGCGATACTTCACGTTTTGAGTCGTGGGAGAGTGTACTCTTGCAAAGGCTTACCCTGTCCGAGAAGAACTCACAATGTGGGATCATAATGCTCAAATGTGAGTTCTAGGAATTAATCTGATAGAGAAGTTTGGAGGTGGCAATGAGTTCTTCCAATGAATAATAAAGGTATCAATTTTCACGGATATCAGATACAACACTGAATACATCAAACCTTTCCCCGACATGTCTGAGGTTTCAGAGGTAGAGTAGGCAGATACAGGGTAGATATTATGTTAGGAAAGGGAGAGAGAGAAGTTACTGTGAGTTGGGGGTGGGTGAGGTGGATGTGATCTGGGCGGATTTGATCACGATTGAGATGGCCGAACATTTTAGTGATGGCAGGGTACATGTGGGACGGGGTGGTTATATAGAATTGGTTACAGTAACTGTAGCGATACCGTGGAGGATGGAAGACTTCACCTGATCATCTGATCTACCACAACCGAAACTCTCTACTCCTCGCGCCCTTCCATTTCCCCTCCTTGAACCCTCTTCCCCTTGATCCCCCTCCAACACCTTGTCCATCACCAACATGTCGACCCCCGACCCTCGAGCACGACCTCCTCCTCTCCTCCCTCACCCCCGGACCCGACCTTCACCTCACAAAACATCCATCCCACCAACCTCCTTGACATCACCCAATATCACACGCCAACCCGCTCTTCCTGGCATATTCACCCACCTCTTCATATAACAATCTCTCATCCAAAAACCATGGAATGATTTTCCTAGCGCTCCACGACATCAATTGCCCTCTTCACTTGCGTCGTGAATCGCATTCCCGCGCGGTGGCTTTCCTTCCGATTCCCAACCTGTACGACACGAAGGTACTGTAACTTTACAGCACATACGTACATCTTGTCGCCCCGCCACCGCCGCCTCTCGCCGCCTCCCGAAAATTTAGGCCAAAAAGGAGGGTGGCTACAGCTCACCGGGGGACATGTGCATTGCTGGACAGGCGAGGCTGGCTTGATTCCCCACACCGACGCCGCCGTCCGGTGTTAAAATTGGACAAATTTAATGAGGGTGGGATTTCACATGAGACCGCACGTTGCGCACGGGCGGGCCTGTGCTGCACGCGTAACACGCTCCCACACACCTCTGCTGAAATGTCCATGTGGCGGGACAAGACCAGCATGGCGACACGGCCCTCAGTATAATTCCAATAATTTTTCAACCAATACATTCATGCCAAATGTCCAGGTGCTCGGGTGCTGGCACCGCGAACTCTTCGTTAGGAACGGCCCTTACACCCCCGGGATCAATGGCGCGTCTCCCGTCTCAGTGGCGGCCTTCCCAAATGGTGGATTTTTGATCCGCAAGCTCGTCAACCGTCCTCATCGTTGCCGTCAACAGGTGTCGTCAACAGGCGTCGTCCCCCGCTCTCCCTCCCCATTTTCATTCGCATCTCAGCCCCTCCATTTCACAATGGCCTTCCTCTTCCCTCCCCCTCCACCGCCCCCCTTTCATCTGGGCACATTTCCCAGCCCCTCCCCTCAAGGCCCCTCTCCCGCACTCCCCATCCGTCGTCGTTGCACCCTCACCCCCGCTTTCACCATCTCCAACCCCTTCAGAAACCCCGATGGAAACACATTCCTGGGCCGCGTCCACGTCCTTGGGCGCAAAAAAATACCCCTCTCCGTCATCGACTCAGCGTTTGCACCCATCGCCAAACAGAATGTCAACCGCAAGCAAGTCGACGCCGCCATCGACGTCTGCAATAACTGGTTTACAGAAAACGGCTACCCGTGCTCCCGCCTCTCCATCGTCACTTACCCTTCGATTTTCAACCGCACGCTCGCCCTTTACTCCATTGAGCCCCGCCTGCACGCCATACGTCTTGTCGCAGTCGACAGCAACGGCAAACCCGTCGAGGACGCCTCCGTCGTCACAAGAGTCGACCTGATCACCCGCGTCCTCGGCATGAAGCGGGACGACATTTTTAGATGGCCCTCGGTATTTTCGAGTCTGCAGACGTTCAAGTCAAATCCGTTTCCGCCGAGCGCGTCGAGCTTGTGCTTAACGTCAAAGAACGCCGGACTTGCCGCGTGGAACCGGGCGCTGGCATCACTTCCGACGGGCGCATGTACGGGGACGTCTCCTTTCTAGACAACAACTTTCGCGGAAAAGCCCAACGCATCCGCATCGAGTGGCAAAAGCGCTTGGACTCCCCCCGCGCCGCGGGCTGTGTCGCCTTTGAAGATATGCGCATTGGCGCCAGAATCCCCTTCTCATACAAGATTCGTGCGTTCCGCGATGCCAATTCTTCCAGGGGGGTGCCGGCTACCCGCTCCATCGGCCTACGCAGACCATCAGGCGATGATGAAGTTACTCGTCGCGGGATTGAGACCCCGCTCAGGTATGACAAGGATCGGGACGGCGCCATGCTGGAGCTTGGCGTACAGGCCGGGCAGTGGCAACTGATTGCTGTTGCTCAACTCGGTCGCGGAGAGCGTCCAGGCGAACCCGTCAGAACGTGCCACGCCAGATACGTCCATTTTTCAAACTGTCCTGCAAAGCAGTATCGCACACATGACGCGCTTCCCCATCGATTGTCCTCGGTCTGGGCATATGCTCAACGTGGAGAGCTCAATCGGGAAGACATTTAATGAGGCCGGCACGATGTTTCGCAACACAGTTGTCCGGCTGGCACAATACGTGGGGGTGGGGCCATACGCTTCTATTGCGGCAGGTCTCAATTTGGGGATCGGGTCGGATAATCTACCCTGGCATGAACAGAAATCGCTGGGGGGTGTCATGAATGTGTGCGGTTATGACCATGGAGAGCTGGGACGGTACAAGTCGTTTTGGGACGGGGCGACTTGAGCTTAGGGTACCGTTGACGCGCGGTGCTCTCCCGGGGCAGTTCCAGAAGATGATGAGAGCGAAAACGAAAGGGACGGAAAGCAAAGCGACACCAGTGCCGGCAAGGACATCGATAAATCTGCTACTCAACAAAAGACGAGTGGCACTAAGGGAGGCAGCGAAAAGACCCCCGCCGTCCAAAACGACAAGGGGGCTAATGCAGAGAGTGAAGACAACACCTCTGTATCGAAACACGTGAATGATGCCCCAGCGAATCGATCTGGAAAGGTGATCTCACCCGGTTTGCTGGACAGCTTGCCGGCGTTAGTGGGTGTTCTGTTTGGGGATATTGCCGTCTCTAATGAACAGATACGAGAACCGATTGGGATGAGCTACGGAGTCGGTGTTCGCATTGGAGGCATAATCACGATGAACTGGACAAGGACGATGGACGGGAGAAAATCGCGACTCCATTTTGGGTTGATCGATAGATGTCTGTAAAGGTAGCAGTGCGATCTTGCCAGTTAAGAATTAAGTATAAATCCCCGGAATCATCCCACATGACAAGAGCTAGTTCTCGTACTATCGCTTGCGTTCTTGCTGCCAACGGTAAACGGCAGGCGCTCCTGTCATAGAATTCGCTCGTCTTTCCAACACACGACGCCCCTTGCTCAGCAGAGCCTTCTCCGAGGCCATGTCCTTCAGCACCGTCCTCAATTTTCCGTGTCGCTCCTGCCGCTGTTGCAATTCCTTGTACGCTTTCTTCGTCGACCTTAGCGTTGCTCGATGCCCTCCACCACTATGTAAGGAGCCCGTCCCTTTCCGCTCACTCAGCTCCTTTTCTAGCCCCGCCATCTCCTCTTCATCATCCACAAACATGACATGCGTCCTGGGGACGCCCGAAGCCGCCGCTACACCATGCAGACTCTTCTTCAGCCTGTGGACTCTCCTACCTTCCATTGCGCATTTCATTCCCACATATCCACTATATGCACCACGACGCCCCTCGAAAAGCTGCGCCGCGAGCTGCGCACGTGCCACCGCGGCGGACACACCGGCTGCCCTTCACGCCGTCAAAACTTTTCGGTCATGCATGCAGATCATTTTTGAAAATATGACAAATGATTTGCACGCGTCATGCATTCTTATTGGCTTGTCTTCGTCGTTTTCTGTACCCCCACCGTTTTCCATCTGGTAAATTTACCAGGAGAAGGATCGCCGGAACCCCATCCTTCCGATGGAACCAGAGGCCCCGCCTTCCCCTGAACTAGCGCCCGAAGTTGATAACATCCACCACGAGGGAGTCCTGTACAATGTCTACAATGTCCTCACATTTAAGAACAAGCGCTTTTATGGCATCGCGTACGAGTCTACCGAGCGGTAGTACTAGGTCGACTTTTCCGTCCGCAAATGACGTTTTGTCAGCGCAAAGAGCGATGCCATTGAGGAAGATCCCCCGTTAAGGAAGCATCGGGTGCTTGCAGCCGGGCACGTTGGTGAAGAGGGCTACAATGGGAAGTGGGGCACGTTGCGGAAGAGGGCTGTAGGGCTGTAGTAGGAGGGGCGGGATCTGAAGACTACGGGTCGGTGGCATGGATCTTCACTAAGGGGAGCCATGGGGAATTATGCGTTTGCAGCTCTACGTGTACACGTTTAAGTGTCGGGTATCACGTTCAAGTGTCGGGTGTCGGGTATAAAAGGGCTGGAAATTTACTACTGGCGACCGCCAGTAAGGTCGGTAGTCGCCGCATGCAAAGGCGGGGCGACGGAGAAAAGGGCTTCGCAGGGGTGGTGTGCTTCGGTACCACTCCCCTGCTGCCCTTTTCTTTTGGTCGCGAGTTCAATTCCTCGCCCCGCCCCCCCACCTTTGGAAGCCCCTCGTAGCTAGTAAATTCCGCGGCGCAGCGCAGCGCAGGCGCAAGAAGAGTGTAGAGTCGCTTTTTAAAAGGCGGAAGCCAAGGTACATCGAAGACTGTAGGGATAAGCACATATACGAGGGACTGGAGCTGCTAAAGTGGCGCAGACGCGGAATGTGGAGGAGGCGGCGCTGGGCTTTGATATTATCGAGTGCGTAGAGTTGAGGGAGCTAGTTTGAGAAGTGGACGGGAAAGAAGAGGTGTTGGAAAGGGTGGTGCGGTGGAAAGGGCGGAAGAATAGTGGGATAGTAATGCCGCGCGAGCAGACGGCGACGATGAAGCGACGCCTGGGCTAGCTAGAGAGAGATGAGGGAGATAGAGAGGGTTTTCATTAAAGGAGGCGGGGAGGACTTTGTTGGTTGGTGTGGGCAGTTGGAATGGGGTGAAGAGAGATGGAGGTGGGAATGCGTCATAGAACGGCGGGAGCATCTCCAAAGGAGACTCGTTTTCACGGGCCCTGTCCCTCCCCACGCGCACGCGCTGGATCCTGCGTAAAATTACCCCTTTCGCATCCATTCAGTTGCACCCACCCCTCCCCTCTTTTTCTCCTCTACGCGTTACGGACCCCCTTCCTTTGCCTTCCCCGCCCCCCAAACCCAGACGCCTACCGAAAACCATACCACCTCCCCTTTGTTTTCTGTCCCCCCTTACCCCCAAACCCTCCCGATGTCCACCGCCGCCTCCAAGCGCGGCCGCCGCCCCGTCTACACCATGCACGACCCGGCCGCAGCCGCCGGCCCTGCCGATCCCACCGCCCCTCTAACTCCCGCCGCGGCCGGCACATCACGCCGCAGCCACCCATGACCGTCGCCCCGGCCGACGGCCCCGCCTACGAGGCACCCACGGCCACACGCGTCTCGCGCACGGGCATGGTCGGGCGCATCGCCGCGGCGGCCGTCATCTCAGCGGCACCGGCCGCGCCCGCCGTCGACGCTCGAGCCGTTGCCACCGCACCAGAGACTGCCCTATAACTATGCGGCACATCTGAGATCGGATCTTGTCTTGAGCACAACATTTGGCACTTTAAATTCAACGTAATGTATAGAGGCTTTACCCTTCTAACCAATTTCCATTAACTCGAAATTAGTACAGGAGAACACAACATATTAGTCTGTTCTTTTCGGTAGGGGTGGCTGTTCACAGCAGCGTTCTGACGACGTTGCGCAGCAACGTTTATACTAATCCAGAGCAGCGTTCTGACCACGTGGCGCAGCAACGTTTATGAAGCTCATCAGAAATTATAATGTTAATCAGTGGTACGCAAAAGTAAAGCACGAAAACAAGGTTGGAAATTGATACGAATGTTATGTTGAATCAGAATATAAATATTTGGGGTCAAAAATAATGTACAAATACGATGGTGGAGACCACTGATTTTCAGTGATCCTATGTATTCTGACTACGTAGTGTAGCTGGAAGTGACTTGGAGGCCATATTATGGATGAAAAATGAACTCAACAAACGATTCGATATGAAAGACCTTGGCGAAGCGAAGACTTGTATTGGTCTAGAAATCGACCGTATACGTTCTAAACACGTCCTGACCGTCACACAGTCGAAGTATGCCCAAGCAGTACTGAAACGGATCAAAATGTCGGCATGCAATCCTTGCCTTACTCCGAAGGAACAGTCTCGACATATCACAATGCAAGTTGTCGAAACTGGCACTGATGACAACCCACGCTTTGAACCATATCGTCAGGCCATTGGATGTCAAATGTTCCTAATGGTCGGGACCCGCTCCGATATTGCGTTTGCCATTGGAAAGTTATCTCAACACTGTGCCGACCCTCACGAGTCGCACTGGTCAGGTGTGAAACATGTTTTGAGATACTTGCGTGGGTCCCAGCATCTTGGAATAGTGTTTGGTAAAGATGATCTTGGTACGGAACTTCATGGGTATAGCGACGCAGATTGGGGTGGATGCCTTGAATCACGAAAAGCAACGAGTGGGTACGTGTTCAAGCTTTGTGATGGGCCTATCAGTTGGGCTTCCCGGAAACAAACAGTAGTTGCAAAGTCTACTTGTGAGGCAGAATACATCGCACTCAGTGAAGCATGCAAAGAGGCCGCGTGGCTTCGACGCTTCCATGCCGATGTACTTGGTGCGAATTCGGATCCAACAATTCGCGTTGGATGTGCCAACGCTGGTACGATTGCGTTTGCTCAGAACGAATCTACAAACCGTCGGAACAAGCACATTGATATTACGTATCATTTTGTTCGAGATGCCGTGCAGCGAAAACTGGTCACATTGTATCGTTGTCCGACAACAGGAATGCAAGCCGATATGCTGACCAAAACACCTTGGTCGCGTGCTGTTTGAAAAGTTCGTGGGCATGGTTGGGCTTTCCCATTGCAAAGCTGCCCATAGCATGTGATCGAGGGGAGGTATTGAAAATGTGCGACCACATGCTGTTATCCGCAAAGTGCAAAATCGAGCGACACGTGTACATGACTCAACGGTCCGGACCCTCACCCCATATCACCACATGACACGTGTAAACTCTCAGATTTTGGGGTTCTGGGGACGAAAGTGGACTTTTGGAGGGTTATGCAAATTTGCATAAATGGCGAAAATTTGCATTTGGCCCGAACCGTTATAGGGCTACACAGGCAATACTGCAAATCTATTGGGTGTCGGTTCGAATGCTGCAATTCTATTGGAATGTTATTATCCACTTATATGCAGTCATGCTGGTGATATATCTTGAATGATCAGTATACGTTTCAATTACATCATTTCGGGGGTTTCAAGTTGTTCACCATGGCTGTAATGGGTAATTATGGGGGGCCTTGGCGCTGGACAGTTGTGTGCGGTGTACACATGTTCAAGTCGCCAGGTTGCTGCGTGTACGTACACTTGTACATGTCGCCTGCATACGGTCAGGCGCGTGTCCGAGTACAGTACATGTGAATTAAAAGTACAACAAGTATTTCTCACAAGAGACATGTACTTACGTGAGCACTCAGTGTATGCGTCACGCTGTATGCGACCCTTGAATCAGTATGCGGCGTTGTACTACACTCTCGTCAGCATGCGACGTTGTACTGTGCTCTCGTTATAGTGCGCCGTTGGATGCAAGTTGATGACAGTACTCGTGTGATTCACATCAGATATCACGTGAGATGTGTAGAAAGTCTGGATGCACATTGTTGCTACCCGTCATAGTTGTCTGGCAGTGTGTACCGAAATTAGTAAGGTACGAAACAAGGGCATGTATGGGGACTGAGATATGACAGGACTTTGCGTTGTTGGAAATAAAGAGATGCCAAGTTGATCATGGTGCAAGAATATATTCTGATTCTGTCATGTCTGGATGCAGATTAGTAAGGTGTGAAACGATTGCATGCATAGGGCCATGGTTTACAGTCACTCGAAATGTGTAGAAACTGTTGTGCACTGATAGTCAATAGTCAATTCGTAAGGTGGAAATAGAACAGTGTGGACGGGCCAGAAGAGGACTGCGCTTGGTCGCGCATAGTAGAGTATAGTTTACTGGGAGTCAGAGTAGAGCGATAGTGTAGCACTCGAAGTGTATAAGTATCGCAGGAAAA